ATGGAATCCTTCAAGTCTTCAACTCAATCCTTAAGCCTTTACAATTCTTGATTTGTCCTTGTTCTTCTCTTTATAAAATGTCAGGATCATCAAATTAAAATCTATTTATGAAATATCCTTTAAAGAACACCCATCTCACAATCTTATGGGTCCACGCATGAGATTTAATTTGTTAATAAATTAAACCATCTTATGGGTCACAAAGTTTAAAGATTAAGGATGAAGTTTCTTTTGATCAAAACTTCAGTGGCTAAAATTTCACGTGGATCTTCCATATCATTGGTGTGGGCGTCATCACACCACATCATCATCTTAAGTTTTGATCCAGTGCACTACAAGCACTATTTTAGCTGACACACGGCTTCATCGGCACCATCCATTGGTTTAAAATTTGATTGATCAAATATAAGTCATCCAAAGTCTGATTTGAGTGATCTCAGAGTCATTTTCAACTTTTCCGGCCATTTCGAACACAACTATGAAGTCCAATTTAGCAAATTCCAACTCTAAAGTTAGTGAAAATGGTAGATGAAATAAAAACTATCGGGTTAAAAAAAGTTGATGGGACATATTTTGGATATTGAAAAATACAAATAAAAAACTATCTATATGGGAAGAAACTTCATCTTCCTTTGTCAAGGGGCAAACCAGAGAATATGCAAGAAGAAAATTGGTTAATTCTTGATAAACAGGTTTTGGGTATTATCTAGCTATCCTTATCAAACAGAGTTGCTCACAATATTACAAAAGAAAAATCCACTACAAAACTAATGGAAGCCTTGTTTGAGATGTATAATCCACTACAAAACTAATGGAAGCCTTGTTTAAGATGTATGAGAAGCCCTCAGTAAATAATAAAGTGCATTTGATGAAGAAGTTGTTCAACCTGAAGATGACAGAATGCACTCTGTTACACAACATCTCAACAACTTCAATATCATCACAAATCAATTATCATTTGTTTAAATTGAGTTTGATGATGAGATTCGCGCACTTATTTTGCTAGCTTCACTTCCAAGCAGTTGGGAAGGTATGAGAACAGCTGTGAGAAACTTAGCCGGAAAATTCAAAGTAAAATATGATGATATCCAAGATTTGATTTTGGCTGAAGAATTATGAAGGAAAGACTTAGGTGAAGGTTCAAGTTCAAGTTCAGGTTCAGCTCTCAACATCAACACTCGAGGGAGGAGACAAGATAAAGGCTTACCTAGAGGCAAATCAAAATAAAGATATAGAAGTAAAAGCAAGTCTGGACCCAGAAAGTAGGTTGAATGTTAGAATTGTGGCAAATCTGGTCATTACATGAGGAGTTATATAAAACCAAAAAAACCTGAAGCTGACTCTGTGAATGTTACCATAGATGAGGTACAAGATGCTTTGATTCTTGTTGTACAAAGTCCAATTAATGATTGGATTCTTAATTCTGGTGCTTCATTTCATTATACACCACACCACGAAATGATGCAAAACTATGCCACTAGATATCATAGTAAAGTCTATCTAGTCGATGGACAACTAATGAATATCATAGGTATAGGAGACGTGCAAATCAAGACAATGAATGCATCTATATGGAACTTACAAAATGTAAGACATGTTCTTGGATTAAAGAAGAAACTGATTTTCGTTGGACAACTTGATGATAATGGTCATTCAATCCTTTTTTTCTGGAGGTATATGGAAAGTATCGAAGGGAGTAATGGTTTTGACTTATAGAAAGAAAATCGGCACCTTATATATGACCACAAGATTTGCAGGCATTATTGCTTCTATTGAAGCAAAAAATTATTCACAGCTATGGCACTATAGACTCGGCCATATGAGTTAAAAGGGGATAAAGACACTTTAGTCAAAGGAAAAGTTGCCAGAGTTAAAAAAAATATTGATCTAGATATTTGTGAAAGTTGTATTCTTGGGAAACAGAAGAAGCTCAGTTTTTGTATTCTTGAGAAACAGAAGAAGCTCAGTTTTTTTAAAGATTGTCAAAATCTTAAGACCAAAAAAGCTAGAATTGGTACACATATATTTATAGGGACCTTTTTTAGTAGCATCTCTTGGAGGTTCTTAGTATTATGTGATTTTCATTGATGAGTTCAGTAGGAAGGTATAGGTATACGTTTTAAAAAATAAATTTGATATGTTTGAAACATTCAAGAAATGGAAGGCTATGGTTGAGACTGAATCAAGTTTAAAGCTAAAATCTTGAGATCTGATAATGGAGGAGAATGCATTGATGGAGGTTTCAAAGAGTATTGCGTTGTCAATGATATCAGAATGGAAAAGATTATTCTAGGCACACCACAACAGAATGAAATTGTTGAATCCATCTATGAATAAGCTAGAAGCATGAGGTTGCATTTAGGGTTACCTCAAACATTTTAGCCGACGTAGTTCATACTGTAGTTTACTTAATCAATCATGGACCATCAATTCCTTTAGAGTTCAAATTTCTCGAGAAAGTATGGAGAGGAAAAGAAGTACAACTCTCTCATCTAAGGGTCTTTGGGTGTATTTTCTATGTTTATATAGATTCTGATGCTCGCAATAAGCTAGATGTCAAATTCAAGAAGTGTTTATTCATTGGCTATAAAGATGAAAAATTTAGATTTTGGTTTTGTGAAGATCAGAATAAAAAAGATTATCAAAAGCAGGAATGTGATCTTCAATTAGAAAATTTTGTATAAAGACAAATCATATGTAAAAACAAATATGGCTGATTCAGATACAAGTCCATAAAAATCTGAATCCATAAGATTAGAAGGGCTTCCTAATGTTACGAGCAAAACAAAAATCAAAAGCCTTTATAAGAAGATTCAAGCACACCTGTACCCATTACTACATAAAAAGATACATAGCCAAGTGAACTATTGTTTATGTTCGCAAGTCTTTAAGAACTGTAAAACCCTCATAACAGTTCACGCTTCTACTGAATTATATTTTGTTGATAGATGGTGGTGAACCGTAAACTTATGAAGAATAATTACAAGATGAAAACTCATGCAAGTGGGAGTTAGTCATGAAGGATGAGATGAATTTTTTGTTGAAAAACAAGACTTAGGAGCTAAGTACATTACCTGAAGGAAAGAAAACTTTTCAAAACAAGTAGGTTTATATAGTAAAGACTAAGCATGATGGAAGCAAACGGTTCAAGGCAAGACTTGTTGTAAAAGGATTTCAACAAAAAAAAGGATTGACTACTTTGAGATATTTTCTCCAGTTATGAAACTAACAACAATCAAGGTTGTTTTAAAGATAGTAGCTGTAAAACAATTTACATCTTGAACAACTAGATGTAAAAATAACATTTCTTAATGGTGACTTGGAGGAAGATATTTATATGCAATAACCAGAGGGGTTTGCAATACAAGGAAAGGAAAACCAATCTGCAAGCTAAAGAAAAGCCTATATGGTTTGAAGCAAACTCTAAGACAGTGGTACAAGAAGTTTGACAACTTCATGTCTAGTTTGGAGTACACAAGATGCCAAGCTGATCATTGTTACTATATTAAATATTTTGACAACTCCTACATCATTCTACTATTATATGTAGATGATATGTTGATTGCAGGATCCAGTATTAAAGAGATTGACAAGTCGAAACAGCAGTTGTCAAAACAGTTTAAAATGAAGGATCTAGGAGCTGCTAAACAAATACTTGGCATGAGAATCATTAAAGATAAAGACAAAGACATACTAAAACTATCACAAACAGAGTATGCCAAAAAGGTTCTCAGCAGGTTTAATATGGATAATGGGGAATTATTTCAAGCTTAGTAAAGACCAATTATCAAAAACTAAGCTAGAATGTGGATACATGGATAAGATTTTATACGCCTCAACCATTAGTTCTTTGATGTATGCTATGGTCTGTACCAAACCAGACATTGCCTATGTAGTGGGAGTTAAAAGCCAATATATGAGCAATCTTGGAAAGCAATATTAGGAGGTGGTAAAATAGATCATGAGATACTTAAAAAGTTTTTCGGAGACTTGTTATACCTTCATAGCTAGTGGTTTGAAACTTAAAGATTTTATAGACGCTAATCTAGTAGGAGATGTTGATAGCAGAAAAAGCACTACAGAATATGTATATACTCTAGGAGGCATTACTATTTCCTGGAGTTTTACTTTGCAAAAGATCGTCACTCTTTCAACAACAGAAGTTGAATATGTTGCAGTCTCACAATCTGCAAAAGAGATAGTATGGTTGCAGATTTTCCTGAAAGAATCGGGCAAGATGAATGGAAAGGGTACTCTATATAGCGACAGTCAGAATGCAATCTTCCTTGTCAAGAATCTAGCATTTCACTCTAAGCCTAAGCATATTCAGATCAAATATCACTTCATCCGAAAAATTGCTAGATGATGAGCAACTAATGCTTGAAAAGGTATGTAAAAGCAAGAATCTAGTTGACATGTTAACCAAAGGAGTTACACTTGATAAGTTGAAGTTTTATAAAACTTTGGTTGGTTTTTAAGAATAAAAAATAATTAATTATTTGTTTACAAGTGAGAGATTGTTAATAAAATGAAGACAAACAATGCCCCACCTCCATTATATGCAAGTGAGAATAACAAATCTCCTACTTAACACATAATGAAGGCTTAATTTAAGGCATAAATCATGACATAATTTATGGCCTTTGCTCCCAGCTTAGTTTGTGTATATATATTTAGTGAAGAGCTGAGTGTGGCAGAAAACACAGAGAGAAGAAGATAGAGAGAGCTTTAGTGAAGAGCTGAGTGTGGCAGAAAACACAGAGAGAAGAAGATAAAGAGAGCTTGAGTGAAAGAGAGTTGAGTGAAAGAGAGTTGAGTAGAGAAGAGTTTTCTCCTTCTTGTTTTATATTATTTTTTTGATATATTAATATAAATTAGTAACTTCGTGGAGGAGGCAAGTTGTGGAATCATATAAATTTATAAATTTATATGTGTTTAATTGCTCTAATGTCTCAATATCAACCTGCACGGAATGACTGATTTTTGTCATGGCACTGAAGATGGTAGAATGCTGCAGGGGATTTCCTCTAGTCATTTTAGTGATTGGAAAATCTTTGTGCCGGAAGTCTGCTGCAGAATGGCGTAAGAGACTTAGGGAATGCTCTAAAGCTGTTTCTATTCTTTCCGAAGATGAAATTCTCGATTGTCTTCAAAGCAGTGTGGAAGCCTTGAATGATAATCTAGTAGCCAAGGAATGTTTCATGGACCTTGGTTCATTCCCTGAAGACCAGAGGATTCCTGCCCCTACCCTTGTTGATATGTGGGCAGAATTGTATAACCTGGATGAAGATGACACCATTGCCAACCTCCACAAACTCTCTGAAATGAATCTGATTGAAATTTTAGTTACAAGGTATGATAGTTATGAACCCTATTGACATTATCATGGCCGGGGTATTTATTATAGTAATAGTATGTGGAATCTTCACATCAAACATCGATTCTAAGAATATCATATGGATCCTACTACTACATGACTTTATATATAAAATGAGCTATCCCGGAAAATATTAGAAGAACAAAACCATTACCAACTGGTTTATGGGGGATTAAAATAATTGGTTCTCTTTTTGGGTTTCGCTGATGGATGACCAGCTTTAACTGCTATGGTTGCAACTTTTGATGGTCATTAGAACTCCACTTATGTTCATTTCAATTAACTTGTGTGCTATTAGTAGCTAACTTGTCAAGAGTGTGAGTCTCTAAGCAATCAACTTCTGTGATCCACCAGGAAAGATGCAAACGAAGACGGCTCCTATAATGAGCATTTTGTCACACAGCATGACCTGCTCAGGGAGCTGGCCATCCGTGAAAGCAACTCAAGAAGCAATGAGCACAGGAAACGAGTATTATTGGAGATAATGGAAAATAAAATCCCTAAGTGGTTGATGGAACAAGATAAGCTATCAATCAGGGCCAAACTCTTATCTATCTCAACAGGTTATTAATCTCTATATTTTCTTAATACAAAGAGAGTCTGGCCTCTGCACACACGCATCGAGCATACAAAACCGATTTTTCATTTTTTTTTGTATTTTTCATCACCTTGTTTGCAGATGAAAAATTCTCATCAAGTTGGTCCACCATGCAAGCGCCGGAAGTTGAGGTTTTACTTCTGAATTTTCAGACAGAGAAATACTCATTGCCTGAGTTCATAGAAAGAATGAATAAGCTAAAAGTTTTAGCACTTCACAATTAATGGTTCGTTCCAGCTGAATTGGGCAATTTCCCACTTCTTGGTTCTTTATCAAATCTAAAGAGAATAAGACTGGAGAAGGTTTCCATCCCATCCCTTTTCTTGACTTCAATGAAATGGAGGAAGCTAGAAAAGATGTCCTTGGTTATGTGCAATATTCACGAAGCTTTTAATAAATCTACCAACAATATTTCGGATGCATTCCCAAAGATAGTCGACCTCACCATTGACTACTGCAATGATCTGGAGGAATTGCCGACAGGATTCTGTGATCTTGTCTTGCTAAGAAAGCTCAGTATCACAAATTGTCATAAGCTTTCGGCACTGCCAGAGGACATGGGAAATTTACTTGATTTGGAGGTCCTAAGGCTCAGCTCCTGCATCGAATTGACAGAGTTACCGGGCACAATCGGTAGACTTCATAAGTTGCAGATTCTTGACTTATCCGAATGCTTAAGTGTAACAGAATTGCCAGAACAGATCGGTCAGTTGCATGATCTGAGAAAGCTCTACATGATAGATTGCTCAAGTTGTGAATTGCCATCATCAGTTGGAATCGTTTCGAACCCTGCCTTCCATCTCTGACGATAAAGGTACATAAGGAAAACAACTTGAACTGGCTTGGGTAGCCATCGTTTTATGATAATGATTATTCTCCAAGATTTCTGGCGAGCCTTTAATTTGTAATGATGTCATTGTGCTTTCCTTTAATGCATAGAAAGATGGTGTGATTCTGTTATTTGTTAGTAGCCCTTGTTAAAAATCGTATTATAATGGCGTGGATCAAATGTGAAGCCATTTTTCCTTGCAAAAAGACGTTTCCTCATGAACCCAAAACGCAGCTTGCCAGCAATTTCTAAGCGCTGCAATATTTGACTACATTTGATGGATTTTTGGTTTGAGGATTATTAGATTCCATTTGGACGAGCTTATTTGAATTGATGCAGTAAAATAAATAAAAAAGTCGTCTAGCGTTTCTATATATATATATATATAAAAGATCTCATGTTCTAGCTTAGCTTTGTCGATTTAACAGGTTAACCTAAATTAATTAAGATATTTTTTGCTGATTTTTTAATTAATTTTTTATTTTATTAGTCAATATTGAGTTGATTTGAAATTGGGTTTTGTGAATTTTTATTCAATTTTTTTTTTATAAAGTTATCTCGATCTCATTATTTTAATCGTACATTTGACAGGTTAGTCTATGTTAACTTGGTTAATTTTTATGAGTCCTTTTTTATTCGATTTTTTTTCAATTCCACCCTCCAACAACCAAATCTTCTTCTTTTTCTTTTTAGTTTTTTTTTTCAATTACATCCTTTAATATTAGGTTATTTGGAATTAGGTTTTGAAATCCTTTAATATTAGGTTATTTGGAATTAGATTTTGAAATTTTTTTCAATTTACTTTTTATGAGATTATTTTGATCTCATGGATTTACTTTTTTTATTTTTTAAAATTTTTTAAAATTCATCCTCAAATATTGAATTAATTATGAATTAATTTTTATAATCTATATAAATTTATTTTTTATAGAATTATTACAGTCCAATAATCTAAATCACAAATTTAAAAAGTTAATTCGGATCAATCTAATATGTTATTGTCTTAATATTTTTTAAAACAAAAGACAACCAACATGTCATCATATTAAATTTTTTATAAAAAAAACTATCATTCAATATGCATTATATTTTAAATTCATGATTTTTTATTATAAAATATATGTTTTTATATATAAAAAAATTATCTTACCTGCAACACGAGACAATTATCAAAATAACAACTGGATATTATAATTCCCCCTTCATACTTTGCTAGTCCCATCTCATAATCTTTCTTTAATTAATAAAATAAAATACGAAAAAATACCCTTTGTTATATTATTCACAAATGATGATAATAAATGTTTTCTTGTGTTTACATCTATATATTTAATAGGTACAAGTCGAAAGATATTCACATTTTTACGTTTTTTTAATCATTTCCTATCACGAAATACAATTTCTTTGAAGAAACGTTTTTTCATCGGATTTAATGAAAGTGCATATTTACTCTTGAAATGGGAGAGAAGAGTGATAATATATATAGAAGGGTATTTTAACATTAATAAATCTTATTTAGTCTATTAAATTTAATTCTTGAAACTAAAAATAGGTTTAAATATAAGATTTCATTAAAGGAATAGTATTATATTCACTCCATATTGTGTCAATCTTACTCAATAGTGTATTTTTATTACTTAGATAGACTAAAGTATCTATAATTAGATTTTTCATGAATGAGGATATTAAATATTATTATGAAATTTATATATAACAGAATGTCTTTCTTTTTGTAATTATAATTATACTATTCAAATTTTACTTTTTTTTTATCATTAGCTATCATCAAATTTATTTTCTTCAAAAAAGGGTCAAATTATGTTTTTTTTTCTTCAATATTTTTTTTTATTTTCCAAATTTCAAATGAAATTTTTATTTGGAACATATATATAATATTGTTTTTTTGTAAGAGCGATTATAATTTGAAAAGTAGTTTTTATACATTTTTTTTTACTTGAATTAATTTCGATTTTAAATAATTACAAAGTAACATTTCAAAATTTGATTTAATCAAAATCAGATATTCCATACAAATATTTAACCCCAATCTCTCTTTTTAATTTATGCCTTTTCTTATCTTGTAAGTTATTATTTCTTATCAAGAAAAAATAACTTTTATTTTTATAAATTCATCACACAAATACATTTACTTATATGAAATACAAAAAGATTAAAGAAAATTGACAATAATCTCTCGGAAATATTAGAATAATATAAAATAATTACTATTTAAAAAAGTGAACCAAACAAGTTAAAAAAACCAGAGGAAAAAAAAAGGTAAAAAACAAAGGGTCGATTTGCCGATGCCATCAACCCACGGGCCGGCCACCGCCAGCGTCGACCAGCACCATATTCAACCAAAAAAACCCACGCTGACATCACCAAATTTGTTGTGATTTAAGTGCATTCAAGAAATGGATGTTACGGACTGGATCTATTAAAATAAAATCTAATCGAGGTGAATGTGTGCGCATTATCTATCTCCTGGGAGTTTTTTCTGCTGAGACTGCTTGGGAATTTCTCAGGAAGAAAGGGAAGAGAGATGGATGGCTCATCCTTTTGTGGGGTACTTTCCATGTCCTAAGGCAAACTTTCGTATGTTGGCCTGCATCTTTGATAGATTAACAAACAAGAAGAGGCCAATCAAGCTGGTGTAGTTCTACTGCTGAAGATAGCAGAATTTTCAACTCAGTGGCGGTGGCGGGACAATTGAAGATTGGGATGTCGAGTCTTGTGGGGCCAAAGGAAAGTTGCAGGAAAAGGATTCAAGTCTGGTGTCATGAGAGTTGCTTGGTGTTTTTTAATTTTCTTAACGTGGAAGGAATGAAATCAAAGACCTCAAGATGCTGTCAAGTTTTGAAAACTGAGTGTGCTTTAGGTGTAGCAAAAAGTTACTACTGAGGAAAATGAGATCCTTCCCAATCATGTCATGAATAGAATTCAGTTCCGGTGGTTTTTTTTTTTTTTTTAATTTTTGCATAAATTAGAAATTTAAGAATTATCTATGTATTTTATTCTTAAGTGACCATATAACACGCTATATAATAGTGTCATCGTATATTTTGAGTGTGGAATACTAAATTGTATTTTTGGTGGTGTCTGGAACCCTCAAGTAATAAAATGAATCATTTTTAAGAAAATAATTATAATTAAAAAAAGTAAATATTAAATTTCAAGAATAAATGTTCTTATTCTTGTTTTGCTTATGATAAATATTTAAAAATTTAAAAATATTATTATCTAAAAAATAAATAAAAATAATTAGCTTCTTACCGGATGATTCATGAGATATTTATAACTTATAAATTTTAATTTTTAATTTCAGTGGAAGGGTTAGAATATAATTTTGTTATAATAATATTAATGATAAATAAATATTTTTTATATAAATATTAATAAAAAATAAATATTTTTTATACATACATTAATAATAAATAAATACCTCTAACTTTAACATTTTATATTAAAAATATAAAAATAAATAAATAAAATCTTACAATTCAAAATAAAATCTATAATAATTTATAGATTTTTAACCCTTTATGCTTAGCACACTGCCAAGCCTATGATTGATGGGTATGGTAGTGAGCTGTACACATATTTATTTATACTTGGCATGTAACTAAGCTTGAGCTAGATTCATGGCATCCAGGATAAGTATTTTGTTAAATCTAGAGATATTGGATATAGATGCTTAGGCTCGGCAAAATATAGATCCATCAATATTATTATTGTTCTTGTACAAGATAGAGACTAAACAAAAAGGAATTTCAAAATATTTTAAGCTTTTCATATTTTATTACTAGTTTGAATATGAATCCTTACACTTTTATAACCTTTCAATATAATTAAATTGTGAAGGGTTTATTATAATTATTAAAAATATTCATAATGATATTAATAAGAAATCACTCTTTAACTTTATTGGATTAATATTTAAAAAAAAATAGAGAAATGATAGTCGGATATTCGATTCCTACATTTAGTCATAAAATTTTATCATGAGACAAACAAGCGAACAAGTTAATATACTAAAAATTTTACTATCTTCTATAATGCTATAATGTTTTTGCCATTGTAATCTTCAAAAAATAATTGGATAGTTATAAAGTATAATTTTATTTTTTAATTAAAAAAAAGTGCATTCTCATTATTTATTTAAATTGGGATAAAAAAATCACTATTATAAAATAGGACATAAAAGATATGAATAGTTACCAAAACTCATTATGGATCCCATAAAATTTAGAAAAAAATTATTTATTTTTATTTAATGATATAATAAAAAAATAAATACTTACAAAAATTAAATGTTAATCAAATAGTTAATTTTTCATATCTGTAATGAGCACACCTTAAACTCTAAGTTTTGATATATATGACCTCGAAAAAAGTTATTAATCTTGTGGCGATTACTATAAAATATTTGGAAGTAGAGATATGCTTAAATTGAGGTCTTTATTTGAATTTAATATAAATAAATGAATCTATTATACAATATATATGATTCAAATTTCTAAATTTGTCTTATGATTCAAATTTCTAAATTTGTCTATTAAATTGATGAGATATGAATTTATTAATGATTTATGGGTGAGTTTGGAAGAAAAAGCAAGTGTTGCATGAGATATTTAAAGATTAAAATGGAGAAAATCTAATAAAAATAGTGTCAATCAAATAGCATAAACATTATATTTCATGGAAAATGGGTTTTTAGAAATTATTTTTAAAATTATTTTTTTATTTAACATTAGAAAAGTTAGTTAATAAAAAATATTTTTCAATAAAAAAAATGACTTAGATTTTCAGCAAAATATTTTTTTAATTTTAAATGGAATACTTTTCATAAGTTGTAAAAAAATTAAAAATATCTTGTTATTTATTAAATATTCCAAATTTAGTAGTAATCTTTTAATTATTATATATATTATATTTATTTTTTTAATTTTATTTTTTAAAATATAATTTAATATAATTTGATGTTTATATCAACTATTATCCTATTTTTTTTTTATAATTGAAATTAGAAAAAATAATTATTAGAGTTGTTGATAAAAATGCCAACGTTTAACCTACTACTTATTTTGTTTTTATAAGCTTTATTTTGAACAATTAAGTGTAAAATAATTATTATGAAGCATTGATGAGAATAAATTATATTACAATAAAAAATTAAAATAGACTTATATATATATGGTAACACTCTAAAATTATTTTATTATTATTATTATTATTATTATTAACATGAATATTATTAGTTTATACGCATCTCGATTAATTTTACATATCTTAAAATTAATAATTATATAAATCTTTAATAACCTTGATAT